CATATGAAGAAAAAGTCTTATTTTGATCCCAACAAAATGTCCTTGAAATATTTACATCAAATTTTGAATCACCCTGTATACCAAAATTCAAGGTTCTGTTAGAAAAGAGTGGAGAATTCAGAGAACAAATGAAGGAAAATAATAGAGAGTTGGAAAATAAATTGAAACAGAAAAATTCTTGATTTTTGATATATCTTCTATATATTATTCAGAACAATGCAAGAAAACTAAAAATGCAAATATCTAGGTAAACATAGACAAAATTATAAAAATCTTTTGCCTTTGAAGAAACGAATGAAAATGAAAGTGTTCCATATATGAAATGAAATTACCTATTTTTCATCGGTTGAATAGTGTGATGTAATCTTTTTGTTACATGCTGTATAGATGAACCCAATTCTTTGGGATTTGGCATCCAGTAAAGATTAAAATGATTGATTCGAAGAGGCAGGTCAACATCCCCAGAGCTTCTATATATCGAATAATCTCTCTGTTCTTGCAACAAGGCAGGAATCTCATCTTTATAAATCAGAAATGCATAAGATCAAGCTGCGAAGAAATCCGGGCCATGCACTGCGCTTATCATAATAAATAAGAGGATCCGAAATGAACTGGATGGCTGCAAGCCAAGTGGAATATTTTACGGGGGTCGGAAGTGAATTAGCATCTGTGTTGGAGTTGGGAAAATGTTATATTATCTTAGAAAAACTAATCGAGTGCCAGGCAAGTGATTCAGCTTCGCTCTAAAATAAAGTTGTTTTTCTGTGATGTTAGGTACTGATGTTTCCAGGTGGATGGGGAACGTTCATATACCTATACAAGGTGTCCCAGAACAACGTACCATCAATTCCACAGGGTGAACTAGAAACCAAAATAGGCCGATTGAAATCAACTTACCTTCATACGATGATGCACCGTTGAACCGTGAGAATGCGATGAAAAACAATTCTATTTCCAGATTTTCTTCAATATTTCGGAATTTTTGAAAGGTACTGCTCTGAAATTTGTAGGACAATTTAATATAGTGAATGTGCATCGAGAACATGTCCCAATTCAATCAATATACAGGGAGTTTGGCATCACTGAACACATTTTGATATTGCCAAAAACGATAAAATCAATTATTTAACTCTTTTCTAACTGCAGTTTTTTTTATACTTTTCCTTGATTTTCGAGATGAGTAAGTAAATTAATTTTGGTGCTTCTCCATACTATGTCGTTTATGATGTAAGAATATTATCATGTTTTGCTCATTTCTACCTTATTTGTATTGAGTTCTTGACCACAATGATCATGTTCACCAATTTACAAGCTCCTCATATGATTTTGGATGTATGACGAATTGATATTCCTCATACAGGACGTGGAAAGAAATTCTGAATCGAGAAAACCTAATCACGAATCTGCGATTGAAGAACTATAAAAATAACAGGTTTCCATCGTTCAAGTTTGAACCCTTTGATTGGGTGAAATTGTTGAAAAGGAATATCCTCAGATAAATTATGAAAAATTGGATATATATGAAGAAATACATTGAGAATTCGCATTCTCTATGTGATAAGAATATCATTTCTTTTTCGGTTCATTCAACAGAAAACAACTACTTTCCTGATGGGTATATACCACGACAAAAAGTTCCTCTCTGATAGACCCTATTAGAGTTTGCAGGAATATTATAGTGATACGTTTGAGTTGTGATATTTTAGTATTTTAATGTGGTATTCATTCTGACTATATTTTGTCACGTATTTTTATGTCGTTATATTTTAACCTCTTTTTACAATATTATCTGACCTAGCTTTGTGAACAAGATTCTTCTTCAGACAATAAAGCATATATATTATTCTTCTGTAGTAGTCCATACTCAAAGTGGAGTGGAATGATCAATAGAGAAAAACCCAAAGTCGTCCTCACAATTTTTAATGTATAATCAGGCAGTCAATCCTGCTGCATTAAGGTTGATACATGTTTCGGCCATTCAAATGGCCATCTTCAGTCAAAAAATATAACAAAGTGTCTATTGTAGATACTATTGGGCATATATTATTATTATTATTAAATATATCTACACACACGATAAGAATTTGAACACAAAATCTTCTAAAGTTGAGAATTTGCATTCTCCTTCAGATGAAAATATGCGTATATGCACAGAACATCATTCTGAATACTCAACAGAAAACAACTACTTTCCTGGCTATTTGCCACTTCGAACATTGAATCATATCTGTTGAACATCCGAAAGAAGAGCATGAAAAATAAGGATCCTTTGAAATTGAGAATTGACAATCTCTCAAATCTGATAGATAATATAATGTATTATGATATAAAAATATAACTTACTAAGTTATATTGGCCACGTCCTGGGAAACTTGCCTTGTTGATCACGGTCTCTAGCCAATATTTCATATTCTCTCGTCTGACCGGCACCGGTAGTACGTTACCAACCATTTATAGCGACATCTATATCGACAAAGGTTTGAGATTGATATAAAATGAATATCGAAAAAGGCAATATATGCTACCAATATTTTCAAGAGAAGAGATGATAACAACATAATGATTTTCAATGATCCACCAATAATTTCAACTAATATTGCACCAATATTGTCTGATGTTCACTTCTCATTTCTCGCCAATATTGATTTCACATTTTGTGACCAATATTCAACCAATATTGGTGTGAAAATATTACACCAATGTTTTCAAGACGACATTGCAATATGCAGATTTTCAATATTTCACCCACATTTTGAAACTAATACTGTAACAATATTTTTGCCGATATTTTCGTAATATTGCACCGATATTGGCCCAATATAATGTGTGCTACTCGGACTTGGGTATTGCTTCGCCCCTCGTAACTTTTTGCCAGCTAAGGGTGAAATTGCACCCTTATCATCGTTCAAGCACGTATATGGGACGAACAATGACCTGCATTACAAACTGTGATGCCCTATATTAGCCTCCCATTCCCTTCACCACCCCATCTGACAACGGGCGATGCAATCTATGCAACCCCGAAAGGGATGTAAATGACTTAAATGCAAATTGGTGTATTTTCAGAGGAAAAATGAGAGGAAAATGCTGGATCGCATCGCCTGGTGCACTCGTCTATTCTCGAGAGTTTTTCGTATACGAATTCGATCTTTTATTTCACTTCAACATACGTCACATACGTAAGTCGATCTTTCTTTATTCTTTATTGTGGCTTTGACACGAAGCTACCAGGTGTAAAACAAGTCAAAATAAATTGATTGGACCCGATTTTTTCATATAACAAAATGTACTGTTGGTTCGTGAGACGAGTTCAGAGTTTACATAAAAAACACACATTTTTGAACATTGTTCAAAAATGAGTGAAACAAATTGGATGAAATTTAACAAAAGTGCATTTTAGAGGATGACCCAAAAGAGATTGTGGGATGGTTGGAACCACCCTTACCCCCTGAAATTTTTTTTCCGAACATTCTCATGGGTGGAAATACGGCTCTCAAAATTTCAGAGAGATGATCAAATATCTTCATTTTGTCGCCCTCGTGAAGGAATAAAATGTTACCTCAAATGATGCTAACACATTCCTTGTTAAAGTTTAATACTGTTATAATGAAAAAATTAGTTGACAATGGAAAAAAAAGGCAAATAATTTTGTATGAAGATTTCATTAAACTCCTAATGAGAATATGTGTTAGCATTATTTAAAAAACATTTTTTTTTCCTTCGGAACTACGAATTCGATCTTTTATTTCACTTCAACATACGTCACATACGTAAGTCGATCTTTCTTTATTCTCTATTGTGTCCCAAGATCGCTGGGACACGAAGCTACTACGTGTGAAACAAGTAAAAATAAATTGATTGGACTCGATTTATTTATATAACAAAATATACGTTTGGTCCGTGAGACTACTTCAAAGTTTACATAGAAAAACACATTTTTGAACATTGTTCAAAAATTAATGAAACAAATTGGATGAAATTTGACAAAAGTGCATTTTAGAGGATGACCCAAAAGATATTGTGGGAGGGTTGAAACCACCCCTACCCCCTGAAATTTGTTTCAGAAGATTCTCAGGGGTGGTAATACGGTTCTCAAATTTTCAGAGCGATGATCAATTATCTTCACTTCGTCGCCATTGTGGAAGAAAAAAATATTACCTCAAATGATGCTAACAGATATTCCTAGTAAAAGTTTAATACCATTATAATGAAAAAATTGGTTGACAGTGGAAAAAAACGCAAATAATTTTGTATGAAAATTTCATGAAACATTTACTAAGAATATGTGTTAGCATTATTTTAGAAATATTCTTCTTCTTCGGAACTATGCGGAATCCGAAATTTTTACAAGTGTAACGAAATGAAGATAATTATTCAGCCATCTCGCTTAAAAAAATTGAGACCCCTATTACTACCCCTAAGAATGTTCTGAAAATAATGTCAGGGGGTGAGGGTGGTTTCAACCTTAATACAATTATTTCTTTCAGGTTCCTTTGATCACTAAAAGAAGGGTCATCCTCTGGAATGCAGAACATCATGCGTATCTTGGAATAATAAAGGATACGGTATAGGGATTTTGTTCAAACTTTTGGAGTTCATAAATTCTTGAAAATTCTTCCCTAGGCAAAGAATATAGACAAACGATTTTTGGTAGAGATTTGTTCGACCTCTTGTGCAACTTTTTCCCCCATTTAACGCAAACGGATTCAGGATGAAGCATATTATATGAAGGGAGATCACTTTTTATGTGTTTTGATGATTTTATTGGACTATGCTGTATCCACCTATCGTCAAATGATCTCTTTTTACAACGATATACACACAGTTATTATTGTTACGAATAACTTATTGATCCATCAACATTCAATGTAGTTTTTCACATGATGGCAACTTCGTATGAGGTGCTCCCCCTGGAAGGTATCTCTAATTTCATGATTAAAACATTCTCCAAAATTTTATTTTGAAAAAATGGCCATACTTTTTCATTTTATATTTTTCAGATTGTTACAAGGCTGTGGACTCAAAGAGATACCAAGTGAAGCTTTAACACCTTTAGGAAAACTTCAAACTCTGTAAGTGACCAATTTCAAATATTTTCATGATATTTAAGAATCATCATTATATTCTCAGAATTATAATATGTAAAGAAAAAGTAGGAACTTGAAACAGCTTTCTGACAGTATAAATAATCATAATTTTGTGAGAGAAATTGTAGAAACAAATTGTTTTCCGTTTATTCTTGGATTATAAAATATCCTTGTCGCATCTGCATCCTCGTTTTCATCTTTTCATTAACACTTTCATTTATTCTCAAATCGAATTAAATGCGGCTCTGAACGTTATTTTCGGGAAGCCCCTTGTTTTAATTCAACGAATAAGCTGAGAACACTCATAATAATCAACTGTATAATCAGCTTAAAATGATGAATGAAATTTTGGGGTGAATATAAATATAATGGAAGAACATCTGCGGGGTGGTTTGACGTTTTAATTTCTTGACTTCATTGAATTAGTACAGGTTGATTTAAATTTCGTTCTAGGAATATCGCACTATTTCGCTTGTAATTTCTGGAACTACGGAAACATCACTGAAATCTTGATTGACTGCCAAGATAAAACCTGGTTACCCAGAAAGCGAATCACTAAATCAATGAAACATGAACATTAATAATCAATAATCCACATCATACCAATTCACGATTTTACCGATATTGGAATAGTTATTACTTTGCAAACAGATCAGTAGGGCCATTTATCAAGATTAGCAAACGATAATGTTGAATTAACATCGAGTAATTCAAATAATGCAAATCGAACAACTACTTCATTGACTTCATTGTACATAAACATGGAATTAATGGAAAAGCAAGTCGATCCCACATCAACAGTTTTTTTGGGTGCGAAATAATGAGGCTGTTGTCATTTAAGGACCAAAAACCGGTGGAAAAATACGGGAAACATCAATTATACAAAACTTCATGCTGAAATTCTCAGTAGATAAAAAAGTCTACAGCGTGTCTCACTTTAAATCGACCCCCAGCTCTATATCTCAGCTATTGGTAGTGCGATTCTTATCAAATACGGACTATACAGTATGTATACTCATCAATATGATCAGTTTCTCAGGGGTAAATAACATTATATACAGTGCCGTGCGTTTGTATCGAAATAGAAAAGGTCGATTTTCCATGAAAAAGGATTTTTGCAGGAAAACCAACTTTAATATATTATTATTCAAGATTTCATGCCCCCGTATATGAATGTTCATGAAATGTCTATGGAGGGTTTCAAAAAAATGGGCACATCTAAACAGTACCGGGAACGGTTCAACAAAAAAAAGTATTTCCTGTTTTTTCTTTCAAAACACAATTTTCTACCTTCTTAATTTCATTCATTCGAATAGGGTGAACTTCGGAATATGGAGGTTATTAAGCATGAGGAAGTCTTCATATTTTTTTTGTATGTTCTGGTTCCGACGAAAAGGAATATCCTGTAATGTTCAGAGAACATCGTGAGAACCAAGGGAAATAAGGTAGGAATTCGTGTTCTTCTCAAATTTCTGGAGGTTATATGCCTCGGGGAACACCTCCCTTGGCAATGTGTTCCAGAGCTTCGCTGTTCGTTGAAAGAACGAGTCTTTGGAAAGAGATGTTCTGCAGGTTTCCAAAGTGACTACGAAGGGGTGCGAAGCCTCAACTCGACGGGTTGATCTCGCGGGGACTGCCAAGAAAGAAACAATTGTTGATATTTCAGTAGAGCATCGTCCATGAAAACATCTATAAAATAGAGCCAGATCGCCAGCTTTTCTATGGTGTTCCGGAGAAGAACAGAAAACCAAATTTTTGGGATGTACTTTCAGCAGTTGATCTCACGTGATTTTCCCAAGAAAAGTTATTGCTGATATGGATAATTTCAAAGGTATGGTTACTCCTGACAAGCTCATGTTGGGTACAGTGAGATCGGCTCTTCTAGAGAAAATGCATGCTTGTGTTTTGTTTGCATTGAAATCTACCAAGTTATTGGATCCCAATTCAAGAATTGTTGCCAAGTCCATATTTTTTTCTTCCTCGTTCATTTCATTTGATTTGCCTGGCTGGTATTGGAGCCCTGGAAGAGAAGGCGGCATGGAGGGTACTATCATCCGCGAAGCTGTGCACTGGACATAAAGTTGCTTCCAACAAATCGTTGATATATGGGGTAGAAAAAGTGTTGGTGCTAGAATTGATCCTTGCGGAACACCAGCATTTATGATAAGAGAGTCAGATGAAACTCCGTCGATCACTACATGGAGAGACCTGTTTGAGAGAAAACTAGCTAGCAGAGCACATACCTGGGGAGGCAAGCCATATAAGATGGAAGCTTGGAGAGGACTCCGTGGTGCCAGACTCGATCGAATGCCTTGGAGATATCAAGTGCCACGGCTAAGGTTTCACCATATTTTTCAATAGATTGCTGCCATATATGTGAGTCGTAAGCGAGCAGGTCACCAGTTGATCTCTGATGACAGAAGCCATATTGCCTATCGTTGATATGATATGATTTCATGAAGAGTCGACCCTATTTTATCTGAATAAAAATGCCTGTCACTGCCTATAATGATGTTTATCTATAAAAAACTGATCATATTGATGTTTATTCATATACCATTGAAAACTTGGTAAGAATCGCACAACTAATAGCTGAGATACAGAGGGGGCGTTCATAGTGAGACACGCTGTATATACAATAATATACATACTCTGTCATTATCCCCAGAGCATGAGATTCCAAATGTGTTTCCATCAATAACCAATGCAAAACGAGAACAATTGTCTCACGTGATCCTTCCACTCCTTTCACAATGCTGTAAAGTGAAATGCTGAAAAAAAAAACAGAATATGTTTTCTTTCGCTGTGATGTAGACAGTTTCGACAATAAACTTCCTTTTGGCACTTCCCATATTGCTTTTAGCAAACATTCGGATTGGGGTCTGGAGAAGATGGTATTGTATTACCGAAAACTTTCAGGAAATATTGGAGATTTCACTTTCAGCGATATTTTGATCTGGCCGGAAGACTACCAGTCAGTGGTATGAAAAATCTCTCTGAAGAACAGATTTTTCTGTGATATATAGGTATATTATGTTCCTTATTGCCACAAAAGATATACAGTGTGTCCCACTTACCATGCTCACCATGGGTATCTTTTTAACGGTGAGAGATACGAGGTCGGTTAAATGACACCAAATGTGGAGTTTGTCAAGGCCAACTATAATGTGAAAAAATATTTTGATAAAATCTATTCGTTTTTGTTTTATACGCAAAAAAACAGATTTTGATCATTTTCATGTCTTTTCCATAACTTCTTTATTTATGAAAATATTCAAATAGGAATTTCACATTCTCATGGCAGTTTTTCAGAGCGATTTCGAGAAATATATGAAATTCATCATAACTCTTCTAGAATTTGAGTTTAGTTTAGTTTAGTTTTTCAAATGTATAGGTCAAAGCTCACTATGACTTAGTTACAAATAACTTTTTTTTCTCTCACAGATGATATGTCGCAGTAATCGTTTTGTGTTGATAACAACGGAGTTATCGTCATTTATACAAAAACAAAAAATTATTCGGGAGCCGCCATTTTGAATTTATAAATTTTAACAAAAAAAATCATGATCTCCGACCTCAAAAACCCCCACTTACCAATTTCGAATAGAATCGGACCAAATTTTGTCCGCCATCAATTAAAAAAAAAATGGCTGCTCCAAGATGGCGGACAAGATTTTGTTCGTAAAGAACACAGTTCTGAAGAGAGCAAATCATCAATCATGTTCCAAACGTAAATCATTCGAATTTTAATAATATAGGGCAATGTTGCTCATTGATGTTGCAAACCATGAAAAATTCAAGAAACGTTATTGAATCCTAATTATATTTTTCAAAAATCTGGAACAATCCTCCAAGTCATCTCACTATATGATTATAAATCTGATGAACTGACTCTTAGTCATAATGGTTTTTCGAGACCTCATCATGTATACATATTTTTGTCGATATCCTCTCATTAGTTGCAAATTTTTACGATGGCATATATTTCAGTAAAATATACTATAATATTCCATAAACATGTCACTTTTCTAGACACCCTACAACTTTTCATTGATATACGAGTTCATTGCCATCACTTTTATTGAGATTATTATTAGATATTTTCCGTATAATATATGAATTTCTTGAGGCATGGTGAAGCTATAAACTCTTTTTTTCAAGGTCCTGTCTAGACAAAAAGCAGGATTCGCGAACCAACAAGAAAACGCAATTATATCAATAAATTATCTTTATTTTATTAGTTTATTCACACAACTTACGGACTCTCACCCACGTCTTACCTACCGTTCCAAGTGGATCGTATTTTATATTATCCTTTGTGTATCACAATTTGTTTCAGGCTGCAACTTCTCTTTTTCTCTCAATGTATACGGAGAATGGTATTTATTTCCTATAAAACTGACATAAATACACATCAATATTTCACCAACACATCACATATCATGTGTCATGTGACTAACTGATTAGGTACTAATCTTTTTCAAAACATCATCTTTCATGGAAATTTGACAGATTATTTAGTACATGAATGTGGTTCTGTTTTTTTTTTTCGATGAATTGAGAAAATATTTTTGAATTCCTTCGAGTGTCAGTCCCTGTTCGGAGAGATTATTAGTTTTTGCTATACAGGGTGTATCTTGATATGTAGGACGCACTTCGGGAGGTGATAGTGCGTCTCAGGAAAATAAAGAAGTTCCCGTAAACAGAAGTCGTCAAAGGCATCTTTCGCGAGATACAGGGCGTTAAAGTTGCAAGTATATATAAAAAAAAATTATGTCGACCCTGTATGGCTTATCGTGGTGGCAAAATGTAGTCTGTTATTTGACTGGCATAGTGCCACAATTACAGAATAATATCTATTATGGTTATAGGGTAATCTGAACATATATCTTGAATGGACTTATCCGACATCTACATGACATTTTGGAGGAGTTGCATTTGGTTATTCGGTTTTTCTTTAAAACAGTGTCTCTTCACGAGTTTCAACACTTGGTGCTTTTTTACAAAATTGCATCCTCTTTCAAATTTCAGAATAAAAATTCGAAAAGTTTCATCGCCACCTATGTTTTTCTGAAAAATCACACATCATTACCAGTGGCGGCTCCTCAGAGGAGGCAACGGAGGCTGAGCCTCCTCAGAGATTTTCCTTAAACTAATATTATCTATACTTTCTCATTGAAAGGACACTAAAATACATGGATTTTGATTTTATTTCCTGTTTTTAGTTAAATATTCTTGAATTGGCAACAGTGCTTGACCACGCATCACACTTCCTTCACTCCTTCACAATGCGCAATCTACGCGCGTATAATGCAAATGCCCGAATACGCCCGAATAGCACGTGTTTGCCGTGTCGCTTCGCAAATTGCGGACAAACGCGAGTGCATTGTTTATGTTTATGTTAGGTTAATGGTTAGGGGCTCTATAAATTTCTGAAAAATGAGTGTTTTAAACGATTGCGATTTAGTGGAATACTTTTTGGTGTACCCATTCAGTGCTTTGTCTTATGAAGATAAATTGATTGTGAAAAACAAACGTCCGTAACCAGAATTAAAAAATCTGATTGTAACAGGTAACAAACAAAATCGTTCGTTCAATTCTGATAATTATAAAAAATATATCTGGCTGACGGGATCTGAGGTAGGGAATAAACTATTTTGTTGGTACTGCGTATTATTTTCAACCGATAAGTCATCATGTTGGGGGCTACAAGGATATAATGATTTGAAAAATTTGCCTCGCGGATTTGATAGACACTGCAAATCACAGAAACACATCTCTTCAAGTATTTATCATTCAGCCTCCTCTGTCATGAAAGTCACGAGCCGCCACTGATCATTACCCCTTAACGGTGCCCCTGGGAGTCAGATTGACTAAATAATGCTACCTATTCAATCTCTCTCAGGTATTGAGTCACCCACCAGAATATCAAAAATTTCAGTCTGGCAGTTACTTATATCTAGAAATTCATGATACAAATATTTTTCATTTCCAACTTTAACACCTTGTATCTCGCAAACGGAGTCTTCTATTACTTTCGTTTATGAAAACTTTTTCATTCTCTTGTGACGACCTATATCATCTCTCGGAGTGCGTCATATACATATTACGAAACACCCTGTATATACCTTTAGCAAGTTTTTGTTCATTATATCAACGTTACACCTCGTATAATGAATATAGTATATTATTTATTGGAACCAACCAGAATTCACAATTTCAATTTGATATTCATTCACGTTGGAATGGTGTTTTATCGAGTGAAATTCTGGAAACCACAACTTCGTGTTTGTTTTTATATAAGTATTTCAAAATGTTGCTCTGACTAAAATGAAGCTGAGGCATTGGAAATATGCATGTTCATCAAAAAAGGAAGGGGAGTGATATATTCTCCCAATTTTTCGCTAAAAGCATGTGTGTGTTTTGTGTACTGGGTGATCAACAATGATTGAACGTCTATCAGTTTATGCAGATTACATTTCTTAACCTGGCAAAATATGACAATAATATGGGTGAAGTCGATAAAAACTCACGAAACGAAAACATTCATCAATTTTCTTTTATTGAATGCAATGATAATACACTCACCGGAAAAAAACTTTTAATTCTAGTCCCATTCTGGTGAAATTTCGACCAAATCTTAAATTTATGTTCCGGAAAAGCGGTTCAAGGGTCCATCAATAATATTGATGAAATTATTGGGAATTTATCACGTTGTTACTATTGTCACACAGAAAACTGGTATTGAAAAGTGCATTTTTCAATGTAGTCACCAGAATATAAACATTTTCTCAATGTCGAAATCTGTCAACAAACATCATTGCATATCCCCAATATTGAGAAATAATCAAGGGTCACCAGAATAAGCCTCAAAAGACATAACTGGTCCTTATATATATAGAGGGTTAAAACCTCAATTAGAACAACAATGCTTAAACTGTTCCGGCACGTTCAATCAAAGTCGATCACTCTCACATCCCCCCCTGCGCGTCATCTCCCCCCCCCCACTTTCTCATACCCGACTCGCCGTCATCAGGCAAATCGGCAACAACGACGTCCGTCGAGTGGAGAAGGGCGCCTTCGGCGGCGCTGCGACGTCACTGCGCAGCCTGCGTCTCGACGCCAACAGGCTCGGCGTCGTGCCGTTCGACGCTATGGCCGAGCTCGCGCACCTCGAGGTCCTGTGAGTATCTCAGGACCAAGCACCAAGCACGGTAGTCGTAGTAGTAGTGGTACTGGTACTAGGAGTAGGGATTAGAGCCTAGCTATAGCCCCATAGCACCATTATACGGGAAATACATTGAACTCAAATTAGACTGGTCAACATTTATAACGTCGGGGTCCAAAATATAGCCTGAATAATAAACGAATTTCCTTACCAATTTGAAATCGGTTTTCACCGATGATTAGCATAATCTCTTGACAGTTTGTTGTGGCAATATGAAACTTCTGTAATCTCAGATAACATTGCTATCAGGTGATAATTAAATGGGTATAAAATTACATCGTGGTCTTCACCTTACCGTTTGAACAGATATTTTTTTTCATTATTTTTCTCACCTGTATCCTCTTGATTGGTGCTTCCTCTAAAAGTTTTCGGAATTTTCAAATTCAGAGCTTTGATAATCGTGCTATGAATATTCATTCAAAATGATGCATTTTTTCGATGATTAATTGAATGAAATTGGAAGTTGGAATTCTTTTTCGAAGAATCAACCTTGTATGTATTATAGTCGTCGGATATAAGATTGTGTTCGAACATAGAAAATTCTGAGGTAGTCTATACAAAGTGATTCAAGAAATACTGAATAATGGCATAGACTATAATGGAATGGAGAATAACGTAACCTTCAGTAGAAAAAATATAATTTTCTCTGTGTTACCAGTGAAATAATGGAGTGTTACTTTGTCATGAGGATGTCTGGTGTCTGACTTCGAAATGGTTTTGTAATTTCTCGGATCGAAAGTCATAAAATGAAGGTACCCATTTTTAATCAATATGATGCATTTTCGTTAGGATACTTGTATAGTTCCACAATTATGAAATTGATATTCAGTCTTGACGATGGATATACAAGGTACGATAAATTTTTTTCCAGATGTCGAAAATTATGAAATGTATAATTACAGTAACTTTTCATGTGGCTTATACGAGGAAATATGAAGGAGACTGCAGAATTGCAGATACTTGCTGCGTTACATTTACTTGCACGCGAGAATCCTAACATCATGGAGACTGATTCTGATGTAGCAATGTCTCAACCAAGTGCTTGTAGAGTATATATCAATTGTTAGGTTAAATTGACGTTGAAAATGCATGAATATAGCAATAATCAATGAAATAGTAGATGAATGACTGACTTCACAGCTTTATACCACTGAGTGGAAATGTAAAAAACTAACCACATTGATAAATGTTGTTTCTATAGAATACTTACCAAATATCAATAGTGGAAAATCTGGGGTGGTTAAAAAAGTTCTCAATAAAAACGTCACTAATTTAGCCACCCCGTTAAACACTTCTCAGAGAATCGGACCGGTAGTATGATTTGCAGGAAGCGTGGTGGTTATTAGAATAGAGTTCCAACGAGTTGATCGGGGTTCGATTCCCCACTCCAGCTAATCTTTTTTTCATTTTTATTTCGAAGTAATTTATCGAAAAAATACTGTGGAGGCATTTACTTGTTAGGCCGATAGTGATTCGCTATTCCATTGAAGTCCCAGGATCAGCCGTGAGCGAAGCTCTCGGCCAAAAATTTTCTGTTTCTCGCGCCCAAAGAGCAGCAAACCAGGAATACTCAACAATAGTATTCTGTGCTATGGCTAGACTCTAGTCAACTATGACGGTTCTTGTCCCCTCCTATTTCCCTTCCATTAGTAGGTATATTAGGTATGCAGGATGTTTCAGATTTGAATGTACATAAATACGATACCTGTACATATAGGGGACACTTTGATATGGTTCCAAATTACCCCCTATTGATGTTTCTACCGTCTTTTTGAACTGAGATACAGGACGTTATCTTGATTTTGGTAAAATCTTCATCTTCACTTTGTATAATCTATTTATACTTGGTAGAATTCCACTTATATTCGCAATAGAAAATTAGCGTACGCCACCTATCGGAGTTATTGAAAGCTGTCAAAGCGGCCTGTTTACTTTGTTTTTATTGGTTCACATTTGTTTTTTGTTTGTGCTTATTGGTCATAATATCAAAACAAACCGCTCACAAGTGTTCAAGTTTTTCAATTTGATGAGTTGTTTAAACAATCATTTTAACCTTGTTTGGCTCATTTCTTTCTAAATATGAACCTTAAGAGGCTAGACGGACCTTCAGGTAATACGAGTGGAATATTTCTAACAAGCATAAATAGATTATACAAGTGGTTCAAAAATTATGAACAGTAGGGAGATCATCGTACCTGACTGAGTAGTAGTAGCAGCAGCAGCAGCAATAGCAGCTATAGCGCAGATTTGTTTTACCCCCTTGATAGACGTAGTTATATATACACGATGTTCGATTAGACCTCACTTTGAGAGGGTGAAAAAATAATTTCAAGGGTGGGAGAAGCAATTTCAGTGTGGCTCAAAAGTGGTTCAGCGAGGTTCTATCTAATTACTCCATTTAGTTAGTCTTTATAAGTTTATAATTATGTTGTGTTCTGATGTCAATTTTGGTATTTGAGAAATAATCAATCAAAATAATGTGATTGGATGACATTGAACAACTGTGACTAGGTTGATGCTCATTAATGGGTTAAAGCATGTTATTGAATAATGTCGATTTTCATGTAGCAGAAAGTAACATTCAAAGATTGAATTTTGAAATTGAACATTATGTACGGTCTTTCGAAAGATCGATTTCAGCACAGTATGTCCTTCATATCCAAGCATGGAACGAATATTCTGTAGTAGTTGAATTTTTTTATCCTCATGCATCGATGGCTCTGCACGAAGAAGACGAAATTAGCTAAGAAAAAAGCAAGAAATTATCAAACTGCGGCTTCAACCCGACTCAGCTAAGTAGGTTTCAGCTGTTTCAGCAAATCCAGTAATAATGGATGTGTTCATATCATTACATTCGGTTGTTCTGCATTTGGTAATGTTCAGACACTAACTTCAATGTAATTTAGAGCAACTAACTGATGGTATATTGTGAAAATTCATCAATTGAATGAACTCCAGATTAGGTCCTCATTTCGTTTGTTGTTCCCCTTCATGTTCTGACAGCAATTACATAAATGCGCTATGTAGAGTAATTGGACGTTAATTGTCTTTTCGTGTGAAAACGGGAGCAGTTCCAAGGAGAGAATTCATTCAACTGATTATTCTTCATGGGGGGTTCGGCAATTATCCAGATTGCTGCACAATGCAGTTTAACTATAATTTGTTTCGAATTGAGGTTTCTGAGAAATAAGAAGATAATTTCAATATAGTTGGAAGTGTCTTGAAATTATTCACGTTATATGTTACATCTATAGCTTTATGGACGAATGCAATTGGTGAGTTTTCAACTGTTTACCTGATCCAAAATAAAAAGCTTGGTTTATCTGCCTACATAGCCATTATCTAACCTAAATAATACATGAAGTTCTACTAACAAATTTCTACTGTACATAAATGTCACAAAAACTCACGTTTTCAAATTACACTCACATAAGTTTCCATGGTTGATCCAATATATATCTTCGGAAATTACATAAACAATACTTAATTGGCACATGAAGAAGATAAAGGAAATTGTTGAAAACTGAAATGTATATCCGTTGTACATACATACAACATATACTATCGTTGTTCAGAATGTGATGTATCTGATTCGTGTCACTAATTCATACCATTGTGATGGAGAACAATTTCTATATTAACAATGATTGTGCATTTTTCAGGAATATAGGCAACAACTTGATCAAGTCTTTAGCTTCCGACGCCTTTCCAGTAATGGAAAACCTAATAGTTTTGTAAGTATCATCCTGAAATATCCTATAGCTTGCTGGAACTGCCAAACAAACATCTTTCTTTTCTGAGGAAAGTATACATATCTACCATTATCATTGTCTCATCAAACCACCAATGTATTTCTTTTTTGTTTCAATTTCTTTTTATTGAGATACTTTTATCAACTTTTGAGCAATACGCCAGAACTGAATAAAATCTTCATATCAACATGTCCATCAGTAAAACAATGAAATCGATTTCATTTACTCTAACTCTAGACTTTTCAAACTTATTTTTGAATCTTAGAAACATGTTAACCTTTACAGAGTGGAGACTTCAACTGAAATAAATTCGCTGGCCGGAAGGCAAAGAATTTTTCAAAAAACTCGCGAGACACATCAACGTTTTAAAGTATTTATACATTTCACATTTCACAAACAATCTGAAGAATGTAGCCGAGGGGTAGCTTAAATCAGCTCAAACATAGCCTAGTTACTTTGGCAATAAGGTTCAGCAATTTTTTTTTCAGCACCTTTCATGTTACAGCGGAAATTTTGGATACCTCCTCAACAAAGAGAAAAACCTAACATGCACAAAAGATTCTTTTCGGGCCTACAGGGTCGGTCTTTGTCCAGCAATATCCCACAACTTCTTGTTTACGATCTCTGCCACTTCCATATTTTGGTATAATAAAAAAAATCAAAAAGAAACAAAACTACGAAATCGAAACAATTTTTCCGAGTGACCAGGGTCGGTCTCTCTCTAACAATATTTCACAACTTTTTTATTACAATCTCTGCCACTTTCATATTTTGGCATGATGGAAAAAAAAGAAATAGAAACGAAACTACGAAATCAAAATGATTTTTCCGGGCTTCCAGGGTCGGACTTGCGCCAGCAATATTTCCCAACTTTTTTAGGGAAATAAGGTAGGAATTGGTGTTCTTCTCAAATTTCTGGAGGTTATTTTTGTGGCTGTGTAAAAACACTGGCATAAAATTGCAGATATCAGTTGAGGCAAAAAATTGCTCTGACACACATTTTGATAAAAATGAATTGAAATTTGAAAGTACGCTGGATATCTCTTTCAATCAGATTTTCAAAAAGCAACATGTCTAGGGTGGTTTCATCTTCAAGTCTGAAGAGCTTGCAAAATTTATTTAAACACATGTATCAAAACGTTGACGTATTTTAAGAAAAAATATTTACTTTCCCGCTAGCGAATTAACTTCAGTAAAAGTCTTCACCCTGTATATATATATATAACCTTCACTGTATTAGCTGTGACATTCTAATCAGGATTCGTAATTAGTGAGCAAATTTGATAAGATCAAAAATGGCATCTTTTTGCATGCCCTTCATCATTATCATCAGTTTGTTATAACAAATTCAACGTTTAATATAATTCATCCAAAGGCGTGCGTATATATTATTATGTATGACCGAAAATCACTCTTACAGCTATCGAAGAAAATTCTTGGAATTGACTCGTGGTTATACTAATTTCTTGAGAAAAAAGGTGGCAATTACGTTTCTCTAATTGAGCATTATGTGGTCATCGAGAGTTCAATGAATGATATTTTATGTTTAGTCTTCGCGTGAACCAAATAAAGCTTGGGTGCCGCCACTTGAGGGCAACGAGGGGTGGTTGACCCCCTCCCCACCCCATCTATTCAGAATTTACAGTCTGGATGCGATAGTTTTTTCAAAAATTATTGTTTCATTCATATTTCTGTTTCCTATACATGCATATTTCTGAATTTATTGAATAGGTAAGTACGTATATTCATTTTTATATGAAGTTTTTTTGAATTTTATTTGATTCACCAAAGAGTTTCAATTTTTGTTAACAGTATCTACCTATATTTTTCTAGAAAGAGATTTCTTATTCTCACGAAATACGTTTCCTTTAGTAAGTTCATTTAACCTATACTTACTTCAATGGAATATGTATTCGAAAAGGCTATCGATTTCAATCTTTCAACCATCACGGTGAAAATGTTGTGCTACCACAAGAATTTTCTGGTTTATATATGCCCAACCCAAATTCTAACCATAACCATAACGATATTCTGTCCAAGTCAATCATAAATAATGGTTAGTGTTAAGTCCGAGGTTTAATCATGCAGTTTGGTTGTGCCTATATACTAACCAGATGATTTTTTCCGTGATGTTGCCTTTATTCTTGTGATATTTTGGTTTCCATGTACGTTTTTTGTTTTGAAAAATCAAATATATTATTTTAAATTCGTTGTATACTACTTATCAACTGATCTTAACCAATTTTATAACCTTTTCGTAATATGTTTGAACCATACTCATATATGTAGTGGACATAGGTCAAAAGGGTTCTGATTTCAATCTTATGATGTAATGCTTTCAATTTGAAGAAAAACGCCGGCCCCTGATTTTTTCTGGCTGCGCCCATGTTATACAGTATATTTCAGATTTTTGAATTGGGAAAATTTTTTGGGCGCTCTTACTCGCGGAAAAGAAAAGCTCATATTAACTTCTAAGTATGTTCTGGATCATGTTAGAAATATTATTCGCCCTTTTCCATTATCACCCCATATTATGTCGGTGACTGAAATATTTTCAAAATCTCCAAATTAAACTTATTATGATGGCTATATCGAGTGATCTCAATGGATACCCTGAAGCAACCACCACTATAGAATTTAGATTCATAAGTTATTTTTTCTTTCTTGAAAAATAAGTAAGATAAAAAAAACTTCATTGAACGAGAAAGTTGTATCTTCCATTGTAAAATCGAATAAGAACATGAAACTTAGAAAGAAGCAATGAAGCCTAATGATTTTTAATATGAATATCAAACTGAGGCGCCACTGAAATGATTACGGTGAATCTATAGTTACGCCGAGGAGGAGTTTTGGAGCTGTGAATAAAGAACTATTTGTATCTCGAAAACGAATCTTCAAAATATACAAGTATACTAGTATACCTGCATTAACTTTTTTTTCCATTTCCAGTTTTCTATCGTTTTTCTGATTAAAATCTGACACCTTTTATTTCGGTTTCACTGTGAAATGGATACGCCACTGCATTAATTCTTCTATTTGCAGATGTTTTACATGATACGAATTATGAAATCAACTTCAAGAATTTCATATTTTCGAATACCTCATCGGTTATTAAAAAACTGAGATCAAACATGCCAAATAACAACTATTGTATCTGAATTATCAGCATATTGAATTGTTGTTCTAATGTAAGTCACAGTTCGCCACGTCCAATTTTAATTGTTGAACAAAAAATGATGGAATGGTGACTCGCATCATGACAATGGATAGTGTGAATGGTAATAAGATTGGCTCTGAAGAAAAAGAAAAACATTGGTCCCAAATTCTTGCATTATTGATAGGTAAGTGTTCAAAATGTAAGTCTGGTTGTTTTCCAAATGGTCCCATATTTATCGTACAATACTTTGAGTAGTAGAATAGATTCCACGACCAAAAATGAGAGACAAAGCTTTTATAAACATGGGTCGAAAAATGATTACTATGAGTGTTACGCAGCTTGTTGACGTGGCTAACCTGCAGCTGCTTTTTTATTGTTATTTCCGAAATAATGAAATTTTGTATGCTTGCTTAACTTTTTCAATTGTTCTTGTTACCTACGTATTTTTGTCTGAAAAACACGAATAAACCGCTATTTATCGAGATACTTTATGAAAAAGTACGAAATTTCACCTTCTTTTGCAACCCATCTAGGATCTACATCTACAACTACTTGTCCTTCTTCTTCCATCACTGGACACTTTATATACTCACGTTGTACTTCAATAACACATTTCATTTTCTAAAATCAACAAGAAGTATGGTTCATTTGGAATTTCAGTTTGGTTTATCAAGTTTCTTGGAGAGTTTTTTGACATTTGACCTTTATTTGACATCTCGTATTTGTATTTCAAGTTCTGTGATTTGTATTTAGATCTGATAATTGAATTGCCACCAGCTGGTGTGATTGTTTACCTCACTAAAATATGAAAAAATTCCAAATAAACCATACTTCTTGTTGATTTTGGAAAATAAAATGTGAAGGACAAATAATTGTAAATGGATATCTAAGAAACATGATGAAATTTCGTATTTTTTCGTAAAATATCTCAATAGAAAGCAGTTTGTTCACAATTCTTGTTTTCCATACATAAATAAGTAAGTACGAAAAAAAATTCTCGAAAAAACCCATGCATGATAAGTGCAGTTTCACCCCGAATTCAACAATTTGAACGAAATGTAAAGGATGTAACTTTCTGTCTAATTTTTAGTAGTGGAATCTGCCAAGGTGTTGCACCCTACTTATGTCCACTCTGTAGAGTAGTAAAAATGTATCAGTTTAGGCGTTGATTGAGTGTAATATATCAATCAACGGTTTAGGTATAATCAAAATCCAGCTGGACGACATTTTCCTATGTAGAGGAACTTTTTTATTCGAATTAGAAGAATTGAATTGCGATTTTCGAATAACGAATCATTCTAAACATATTGCTCAATGTCTTTATAACCACTCAAGCTTTCGTTTTGGTATCTTTCGTGATGGAAAGAATATTATTTACGAATTCAGGGCTTCTTTCATGTAATCTAACATGATTTTCCTGGCTGCATGATTATAGAATTCTTATAGCTGTCATCGTGTTTTCATCATGAACTTTTCTTCAACAATATACAATTCAAAATCAGCCACATTTAATAACCTTCGATCTGTTCAATACCAATATCGATTGATTGTTAGTTTTCCTCACTCGTCAACCCCCATCCAAAGGCACCCCCTCACTATAAAGATCTGAATGGTACCACTTGCCTTTCTATAATCTATTTTAAAGTGAGAGATTGTCAATTTTCAATTTCAAAGGATTTCAATTTTCAATGCTCTCTTTTTGAATGTTCAACAGATATAATTCAATGTTCGACGTGGCAAATAGCCAGGAAAGTAGTTGTTTTTTGTTAAATATTCAGAATGATGGTATGTGCAAATACACATTTTTATCTGAAGGATAATGCGAATTATCAACTTTGGAAGATTTAGTTTTCAAATTCTTTTCGTGTGTGTTCAATAGATATAATTGAATTATCGTCGTGGCATATAGCGAGGAAAGTAGTTGTTTTCTGTTGAATAAACGGAGAAAGAATTGATATTTTTATCACATAGAAAATGCGAATTCTCAATGTATTTCTGTCTCTCTCTCTATATATATATATATATATATATATATACAGGGTGTTTCCTAACTACGGTTCCTAACTGCAGGTGGTGATTCGTTAGGTCATTTTAGGAAGAAAAGTTCTCATAAACGTATGTCCGGAGTTGCTTCGTTTCTGAGATACAGGGCGTTGAAATTAAAGAAAAAAAACGGTAATTATAAAATATCATGAATATCCTAAAACCGATTTGGTTGAAATTTGGTACTTTATCCAAGCCCTATTTATATTGAAATTATTGGGACCAGTGGCGTCTCAATGGGCACCACAGCCATCAATATTGTGAAAAAAAAGTACGCCACTGTCTTTTTTTGGTGAATTTTTATTTTGTTTAGATTGAGCAACTCAAAATACAACTTTTTGGTCTTCTGCATTTCCTTCATATCCAGCTTCGTTTTCGAGAAAAAAAATGAAAGCCATAGTATTGCATATCATGAACACTTGCATTGGAGAAATGAGTTTTTCATTATCTCCGCCAAAAATTTAATTGACAATTGATATGCTGAAATTTTAGGAAATTTGATAAATAAAAGTACCAAATTTCAACCATATCGGTTCCAGGATATTCATGATATTTCATAATTATCGTTTGTTTTCTTTAATTTCATCTCCCTGTATCTCAGAAACGAAGCAACTCCGGACATATGTTCATAGAAACTTTTCTTCTTAAAATGACCTAACAATTCACCCCCTGTAGTTAGGAACCGTAGTTAGGAAACACCCTGTATATATATCCATTTTTCCATTTTTTTATGTTCATAACATAATCTATCTGAGAATATTCCCTTTCAATATTCTTCTAGCTCTTCTAGTCTCAGAGTTATAAGAGTTTTCTTAGTGTTTTGTTGATTAAAAAGTTCAGCGCTCAAAAATTACGTCCGATGGTGATAAAATAATAGAAAAAATGGAAGAATGCATGCCTCAATAAATTGTTTGAACCGGAAATAATGACTTAAAGAATATTTTCGAGAAGGAATTTCAAATTGTCCTCCAGCAGTATATTATCTCAACAAAATCGATCAAATTAAGCAAGTCTTGTTTTTAGGATCACTGGGAGTCATCACAAATGGTCTTCTATTCTCCTGGTCTTCCCCCTTCATCCCGAAACTCACCAAAGACAAAGAGAACTACGACATAACCGAAGACGAGGCCTCCTATTTCGGCACCCTCCAACCGTTGGCAACCCTGATAACTAGCGGCATCTTCTCCTACACGAGTGATGTAATCGGAAGGAGAAAGACTCTCCTGATGATAGCCGTACCGCATGTATGCTGCTGGATACTTACCGCCTCAGCAAAAAGCGTCTATGTCTTCTACGTGGCTAGGATATTGGCAGGCATAGCAGATGCAGCTGTCTACGGCTCTTTCCCCATGTACATTGGAGAAATAGCCTCTCCCGAAGTGAGAGGCACTTGGGGCAACTGCTTGGCATCAGCCATGTTTCTAGGAGAATTCCTCATCAATGTTATCGGCGCTTACTTTGGAGTGAAAGCAACTGCATACATCTGCCTACCGCTGCCTGTGATCTTCGCAGTGATGTTCTATTTCATGCCGGATTCCCCTTACTTCTGTATCATGAAGGGGAGATACGAAGAGGCTAAAGAGTCGCTGCGTTTCTTCAAAAGGAAGAAGAACGTGGAAGTGGATTTCGTTCGTCTGAAAGCTGACGTGGACAGACAGATGTCTGAGAAGGGAACTTGGCTGGACATGGTGAAGATTGATAGTAATAGGAGAGCGCTGATCGCTGCTGCGTTCCTAAGGATTTCCCAGCAAATAGGGGGGCTTTCGGTGTTTTACATGTACACCCAATTGATATTCGAGAAGTCTGGGGGGGATGTTGCCCCGGAGGTATCTTCTATGTTGTACATGGGGCTGTGCTTTGGACTGAATCTCTTCGTGGTAACCTTCCTGATGAGTAGGATTCGCAGGAGGACTTCTTTTATAATTTCGTTGAGTCCTTGTGCTGTGGTGCTGTATGGGATGGCGATTTATTTTTATCTGGAGCAGTACGTTCCTGAGGTAGATGTGACTTCTTTTAGTTGGCTGCCGCTCACAGGGATGATTCTCTATCAGATATTTAGTTCGTTCGGTATTACGATCATTCCGACTTTGATGTTGGGTGAGCTTTTTTCTGCGAGCATCAAATCGAAAGCTATGACCGTACTGGTGATGGTATTCAGTGTTTCTAGTTTTATGGCGAACATGCTGTTTTACGCACTTTTGTCGCGTTTCGGGATATACGCTCCGTTCTTGTTTTTTGCTGTTAGTAATACTGTGTCGGCGGTGTTATCGATTTATTTGATACCAGAAACGAAGGGAAAGACTCTGGAAGAGATACAGCAGATGTTGAAAAATAAAGGAAACAAGAAATAATGTGTTGGTTTTTGTAATTTGTATTTGTAATTTTTTTGTAATTTTGTAACCTTTTTTGGGCAACGAAATGCAAACTTTGTTTCCACCGAACAACCAAACATACGCTAATGCTATCAGATTCCATTCAGAGACAAGCTATTCGACTGGATAGTGATGCCATACTTGAATGAGGAAAATTGGAAACCTTTAATTTTTCGATATACAGGGTGTTTTATGATAATTTTCTATAAACATAGGTGGCAGATGGCTCCATTCACCTTGAAGTTGTGGATTCAAAATGAGTGGAAAAAAGTTTTCATTCAATTGCTATAAATAACCGCTCATTTTATATATTTGCAACTCAATTTCCGCATATATGTACAGGGTGTCCCAAATCGATACGAAATATACGATGAAAAATAGGAAGAAAAATGAGCTTGATATGAAGATGATATTTCTTGATATTTCCGAAACGCCACGTGATGAAAAGATGCAATTTTTTACAAGAACTAAACTTTCCATGCCCAATGCTGTGAAAATAATAGAATTCCGGAATTTCAGTCAGGAGTGTATAATACAGGGTGGGACTACATTAAATATTACTAAAAATTTTTCGACAATTTAATGGAAAAAAAATGCACAGAAATTGAGAAAAAATATATTTATCATCATTTTCCAATTTTTCGCGCTTTCATGAGATTGTTTGGTGGAAAGGAAGTAGTTGATTTTCTTATATAGTCACTATGATTTCAAATTGGCAACGTTATGTATAAGATGTGAGTGTTTCAATATTTTTTAATCGATTTCACTCGAAAATGATATATCTGATCGATGCGGAACAATAACATCCTTTTTTATGAAACGGTGTGGATTTTCATTTTCCGAGATGAAAATGTCGAACAATATGCACACAGAATAGTTTGAGCAATATTCAATGTAGTCTCACCCTATAATGTAACTTTAGGCATCATGGGAAGTTGAGTTCTTTAAGCAAATTGCATCATTTTATCACGTGTCGTTTCGGAAATATTCAATAAATATCATCTTCAGGGGCCCCTTTTCAGGGGGCCGTAGCTTCCTCAGGAGACATTTCTCGACTCATGTTTTCTTCCTATTTTTGGTCATAGAAGCCGCTGGTGAAGTTTGGCAGGCTAATTTCCGGACACCCTGTATATCTCGCAAGCGAAGAAATCTACGACATGAATATTATTTTTATAGGAGAATTTTTCATTTTCCAAACTCAATAGTCGTTTAGAATTTTGACTATTCGTTATCACAGGAATCTGTATTGTCTCAAATACCTATACAGAGAAGTACAAAAAAGCGCAACTGGTGTAACTTCTGAATCATTCGAGATTACATTCTGAAATTTGTTGGGTAGCAAGTATACCAAATTACTCATTTATTGACAAACATTATCTGTTGAGGTTCAACATTTTTTTATTGTTTCATATTTATTATGTTACTTCTTCGAAGTTACCTCTGCATCAGAGCAGTCAGTTTCGTCGATTTTTCAATGTTTCTATAGAAATAAATCAATTAATCACTGTCTGTCGAATGAAATAGATATGTCATAAAAAAAATCTAATTTTATATCATCATATAATTGTATAGTTGTATATTCACCTGAATTAAACCAGAATATACATAAAAGCAGTCTCTCTCGCAAGTATTCCTTCGCCCCACAATTGGAATAAAGCAAACTCTCGACAATCTCAATCAAGATATTATACGTGATTATACAGTCCACTCTCCGCTCATTCACGCTCATTCAAGAAAAGGGCACAGTCCCTAACATTATCGATCTATCACGTCCGGTTCAACCAGAAACAAACCCAAATTTTGATTTTTGAATAGGACACCCTGTATATATTCTCATACTCGGACTCATGAGATCGTTTTACACTCACTAGAATCTTTTCACAACAAAAAGGTCGAAATATAGGGTGTTATTCTACACACACTGGCACAATTAGGGGAACGGGCAAAATTTACACTAAGTTTGACATCAATTTTCTTTCGAACCAATCGCTCGATTCAAATTTTTTTCTTCTCGAAATGTAGCTTCATTCTTCACGAATACATCTGAGAAATCATTACCTTCAAACGATGAGTCTTTCCATCATATACAGGGGTGTAATGAAAGTACGGATTTTTCGGTATTTTTTTAGACATCCTGTGGACTGAACCACTGATAATTGAAATGATTTCTCAACACCAAATTGGAGCCCAATCTATTCCGAATATTTTCGTTCTTTATACATCTTGATATCTCAATCATTCAAGAAAATACAGAGTTTCAAAGGAAAGGTGGATATTGGTATCAATTTTACACCTCAAAACTCAAATTGGATCTGAAAATGTGTCGTTTCCTGACTAACCTAACCTAAGCATTACTTATTCTCTGCCATAGGAGACAGAAGCAGTAAATCAAATTGTTCACCTCGGCGATATAGTCTTTTCCTGCCATCTATTGAATTGGTGCAGATGCGGCTCTCATATGTTGAAAGAACATTGGCCCACTGGTCATTTTCAATTAATGCTATAGCCCTCGTCACATCAGTAGGAGTCAAATCAAATTCATGAATTGTGAATTGCTTGACTTTGACAATAATTATTGACAATAACAAAATAGCCAACGTTGATTAACAAAAATAGCATTTCACCAAAAGAACATTGGAGCAACTTTTATCACCCCTGCATATTCATGAGAGTATTCGTATATGTGTCTTTAAACAGTAAACCGATAGGTGAAACTGTGAACAATTCTCATTTCGAAGTAAAAATCCTCACAGAAACAAGTTGAAAAACGACACGTTCTCCCCAGTTCGAGTTTCGAGGTGGTAAAATTAATACCAATATCCACCTCTTCTTTGAAACTCTATATTTTCTTGGATAATTGGGATATCAAGATGAATAGAAAACGAAAATATTTAGGATAGATTGGGCTATAAATTGGTATTGGAAAATCGTTTCAATCATCAGTGGTTCACTCCACAGGATGTCTTAAAGAATACCGAAAAATCCGTACTTTCTTTACACCCCTGTATATGATATAAAGATGAATCGTTTGGAGGTGGTTATTTCTCAGATGTATTCGTGAAGAATGAAGCTACAATTCGTGGAAAACAAATTTGAATCGAGTGATCGGTTCGAGAGAAAATTGATGTCAAACTTAGTGTAAGTTTTACCCGTTCCCCTAATTGTGCCAGTGTGTGTATATTATTTGACAAACAAATGTTGGGGCTGCTTCCGGTCGAAAGGGAAGTGATAAAATGAATATATCTTCTGTCAATAAAAGGCAATTTGGTTTACTTACTACTCACCAAATTTCCAATTCCGACCTCGAATGATTCAGAAGTACAGCTCTGGTGAGTACACCAATGAAAAAATAACTGCGAAAACAAAATCCCCACCAGGAAACGTGAAAATTCATCTTTGGTAGATAATATATTGTGTATAGTTATTTTTTCATTCGATATCGTTTCACTGAATCGAAATAAATTCATCCCCTTCCTAAAACCCCTCAGTATCTTTCCAAACAAGTTGTTTCAACTTCCTAATGTCCCGAATAATAAAACTAGAGCACAATAGAAACTTTTCTCATTCTTTCTCAACCAACCCATATAAAAAAATAATATCTCGTTTGTCGGCTAATACATAGGGTTAGCCAGTCTGAGAACTGTGAAATATCTTAGAAACCAGAATAATATACAGAGTGTTTCATTAGTGGATGTCAATATTTGGGGAGGCGATTGTTTGGCCCATTCTAAGAAGAAAGTTTCATATGAACGTATGACCTAAACGTCTAACTTTCGAGATACAAGTTCTCCTGATCTGATTCTGATGGAAGTTTTTGAAAAATACGATTCAGAAAGTCGAAATTTTGACATTTTAAGAGAAAATCAGTTTTCCAAATCCGGCTCTGGTTTTTTTCCATATAGTAGGCCATCGTGTGGTGTGTCAGTAGAGCTAAGTTGCTGGTGAATTTCAGGCGATAACATCGAGACGTTCCTGAAATATCATTCATCAAAGTTTCGCCCTGAATTCACATAATGCCCTGTATTTCTGTTACGAATAGGCCAAATAATTATTTTTTCACGAATACATCAACTCAACTTGACTTCCTCTATCTGGTATCAGGCTTTGGCTGGTTAGTCATGATTCACCCTGTATAGGGTGATCAAATTAAAATAAAGAAATTAGTATGAGACTTTCAGGAAAAAAACAAACACCATGGCGACAACGGCTGTATGTGAACTTGAGGCAATGTGTTCGTGATGAGATATTTAACCTCGTTTATTGGTTTCTCAGAACCAACTAATTTAAAAAACAAAATCAACCTATTTCATTTTGAATTGCAGTAAATCATGTCCGTATTGAAGCAATCGTGCCCATTCTACCAGAAAATGAAAAAGTGCATAATTATATTATTGTACAATTTGTTTCAATGCCCAGCGCCCATGTTTCGACAATTCAAATGACCATCATCAGTATCAGATACATGAAGTTGATGTATAGAACTGGTTGAAGCATCATGAAGACAAAAAAATTCATTCATTGCACAGTTTACCGATTATTTATTCACATTAATGTCAACCAATTACATTAGTGCGTCGTCATGCTAGTCATGCTGTTTTAGAAAGTTCACTTTGGCTGATGATGGACATTTGAATGGTCGAAACATGTCTCAAACCTTGTTGAAGCAGGTTGAACTGTCTTCTTGACATTGAAGATTCCTGGAGACAACTTCATCAACTTCATCCCACTCCTCTTTGAGTATGGACTACTTCAGAAGATTGAATTTCATAATAAATGGTTTATTGTCACCTGAATATTTCCGTTCAAATAAATTTCTCAATCTAATATTTCTACTCCCTATCAAAACAAACGTTCGTTCAAAGGACTACGGATAAAATATAGATCTTCCGTACAAACGGAAAAATTGAATTAGAGAGTGTTAGATATAAAGCATCAAAGTTTGTTTTGTTGACATAAATATTGGCGAAAAGAAAATCGCCGAGATCAAACGAATATCACGTCCACAGAAAAAAATCTACTGAAATACGCGTGACGAAGATATAATAACAAATGAAATGTGTGTGCGTGACGAAACTGGCTAACTTGGATCTATCCTTTAGTTTATATGATTCCACCAAACATTTACTAATATTGGACCCGTAAATAGGTATGTGTAGTAGATATTTTGGCGGTTGAAACCATGACTGTCCACCTTCACATTTCCAATTTGTCCACACATATCCACATTTTCAGTTTCAAACAGGCATAGTGCTTATGGTAAATATTTGAGAAGAATCTGATATCATTCGTGATCGTGACAATGGGCTTATATCACAAAAAATTGTTATTTCATTATTCGATAGAACTCACGGAAACTAGCTCACCACCGCAAACCGTTTCTTGCTGTGAGCTCCCTACGTTTTATAAAAAATTATTGAATTCCCCGATTTTTCGGACCTCTGAAAACGAGGCGATGGTGTGACGTCAAAACCCTATTACTGAAACAAGACTATTCCATACAGATGATGATACATGATTTCTGACAGAGTGAATTAGCGCGAGATCACAGTTGAAAGAATTAGTATATCAGTTGCCTCAGTCTCCGTCGGGCTTTTGTTACTTTCTTTTAACTATGGCGAGATGAGGTTTCTACATCATGAGAGATGGTCCGTTTTCAGATGGTACTATTATTTATGTCCAAAAATAAAACATTCCAGTTAATTTTTCGATCGAATTATGTCGTCAATCATTATTTATGTATAAAAGGATCATTATAAACATAGTTTGAGTTGAAAGTTCTACCAAGGTGTACACGCCCATTATTGGTACTGGAACCTTCATATAGGCGAGTTCGGAAATACGTGGAGTCAGAGTAGGGTTTGAGTAGCATTTGCATGGATTCAGACCACGTGATTTGATGAGTCGAGAGATCAGGTTGGGGTACTTCAACAAATCCGAACGCTTTCGCTCTTCCCCTGGCTCCAAGACACTGACAGCTCCTAACCTAACCTTACAAACACATTTATTGTGGTCTCAAACACTTTCATCAATTTGTTCCCTATCAATATTTTATTTTCATTAGTCGCGTTAGGTGTTAGGGTTCATTCGGATCAAACCCATGTCTCGAACCTTATTGGTGCTCCTGCCGCAGCCACATAAGATTTAATGGATTTTGTGTTTGTGAAACCCTCGCACTTGCAGAATGGACAATAATATGAATATAAGAAATAATAAAATGCGAGCGATCGGTTGTGTAGTAAGATTTGCTTTCTACTTCTTTTGTGATAATGATGAAGAAGATCATGAACAACCCAAAGAAGATATTGCTTATCTTGAACGCAGAATTGGACGTATGACTTCGGATCAATTCAAAATCCATTTTCGAATGGATTCCAATACTTTCGAACATTTATTGGAAAGACTACATGAATTTTATGTTACACCTAAGGGTTATCCAGAAATTACTGTTGACTATTCCACTCTTGATCTCGCGTCTCGCGAACCAATCAGAATCGACCATTTTCATGGTTTCTTCTGTATTCTAGCGATATTTTTTGTTTATTAAATTTTATCGGACTTGCTCTACCAATACAGAAGCCGAATTGACCCACACGTGACCAACAAACCTTG